TGTGTGTGTGTGTGTGTGTGTGTGTGTGTGTGTGTGTGTGTGTGTGTTAGAGCTTAGATGGTGGGCCAGCCTGGGACAAGGCTTAGTACAGTGGGTAAACTAGATGAGACTCAAATGAATGGCAGGACTTAGATGAAGGGCAGAGCTTCTGGAGCTTACATGAAGGACCTCGGTAGGTAAGATGTGTGAGGCTTAGATGAGGGGTGGGACTGGGTGGGTGAGAGCGTGAGAGCAGGACAAGAGAGAGAGAGAGAGAGAGAGAGAGAGAGAGAGAGAGAGAGAGCCTGAGAATAAGGCTTAGATGAAAGAGCTGGGGCTGGTAAATGGGGCTTAGATGAGGTTGCAAGCTGGGGTTGGGCTTAGCTGAGCACGTGGCTGAGCTGAATATACATGGGAGGCGGCCTTAGCGATGACACCTGTGGAGGAGCTAAACTGGGCCACAGTCGCTTAACTGAGGAGCAGGGTCGGGTGAAACACATGAAGGGCGGGGCTTAACTGAGGAGCAGGGCGGTGGGTGTGGCTTAGATGAAAAATCAGAGTCGGGTTTGGTAGGGACTTAGGTAGGGTCAGGCTAGGTGGGAATCAAGTTGAGAGAGTTAGGGCTTAGGTGAGGGGCATGACTTAGAGCAAAGGCAATGGTCTGCAAAGGCTCCAGCTGACAGTCTCTGCCCCGTTTCGCTTTGCTCAGGCCCGGCAGAGGGAGAAGATGAACGATGACCACAATAAACGACTGTCAGAGACGGTGGACAAGCTGCTGAGTGAATCCAACGAACGATTACAGCTTCACCTCAAGGAGCGCATGGGGGCCCTGGAGGAGAAGGTGCACACATACCCCCCTCCCCCGTCTTTGACAACCAGGGATGCCTCTAGCTGCCTTCCTAGAGACCACACATCCTCCTCAGATCTGTCATTTGAGACCCACCTACCCACAAACTGCTCTGTGACTGACTGAAGGCACCATTTTGCTGAACATTCCAAGAGCCGAATTTCACGAGGCCACAACCCCTCCAGCCTGGCCTAGCCCTTTCATTTCACCCCTGTTCCCACAGAACTCACTGAGTGAGGAGATCGCTAACATGAAGAAGCTTCAAGATGAGCTGCTGCTCAACAAGGTGAGGACCTGGAACTTGGTGGGGAAGTGACTGAGCAGCCTGCTCCTCCCAGCAGCAGGGTCTCACTGATACCTCGGCTCCTCTCACAGGAGCAGCTCTTGGCTGAGATGGAGCGAATGCAGATGGAGATTGACCAGCTTCGGGGGAGGCCACCCTCCTCCTACTCCAGGTGACCGCAGCCTGCCTGTCCTTTCTCTGCCTGGGGAGCCCCTACGGTCAAGCTCAGCCCCTTGTCTCCACTTCTTATTCTCGACTGCTATTCTCTTATTTTTAATGTTTACAGTACTGGGATCAAATTCCAGGGCCTTGTGAATGCCACCACCCAGCCACACTCCCAGCGCCTCACTGGGAAATTCTGATTTCTACTCCTCCACATCTCCAGGACAGCCAAGGCTGTCTTGAAAAACCAAAAGAAAACAAGCAAACAAAAATATAGATATTTTAGTCAGGCAGTGGTGATGCATGCCTTTAATCCCAGCACTTGGAAGGCAGGTAGATCTCTGTGAAGTCTAGGCCAGCTTGGTCTACAGAGCAAGTTCCAGGACAGCCAGGGCTACATAGAGAAACCCTATCAAAAAAAAAAAAAAAAAGCAAAAAACCTAATATGTATTTTTTAATTTACCCTTTGACAAATTTATACATGTATCTTGATTACTTCCATTTCCACGCCCCAGTCTCCCTCAAACATTCCATCCCAAATTCCTTCATTTTCTTCTTTCTTTCTTTCTTTCTTTTTTTTTTTTTTTTTTTGAGACTGTGTTTCTTTGTGTATCCCTGGCTGTCCTGGACTTACTTTGTAGACCAGGCTGGCCTGGAACTAAGAGATCCACCTGCCTCTGCCTCCCCGAGTGCTGGGATTACAGGCAGGTGCCATGGCACCCGGCCCTAATCCCTAATTTCTTTTCTTCTTTATTTTTATTTATTTATTTATTTATTTATTTATTTATTTATTTATTTATTTATTTATTTATTTATTTATTTTTTGAGATAGGGTTTCTCTTTGTAGCCCTGGCTGTCCTGGAACTCACTCTATAGAGCAGGCTGGCCTTGAACTCACAGAAATCCACCTGCCTCTGCCTCCCAAGTGCTGGGATTAAAGCTATGTACTACCACCGCCCAGCCAAAATTTTCTTTTAAAAATAACCCACTGAGTTTAATTATTGGCACCCCCAGCCCAGGCAGAACTGTCCCTGTTTCTCCTAACTTCTATCCTCTTTCTGGCCCCTGGGTCCTTGACTACCCTTTCTGTGCCATCACAGGTCCCTCCCTGGCAGTGCCCTGGAGCTCCGTTACTCCCAAGCACCAACTTTACCTTCTGGTGCCCCTCTGGATCCTTATGGGGCTGGCAGTGGCCGGGCAGGCAAGAGGGGCCGCTGGTCGGGGGCCAAGGATGAGTCTTCCAAGGTCAGCAGCCACCTCTGGGCCCAGACTGAGAGGGGCTGTGGTGGGGAGGGCAGCTGGGTGTGCGCTGCTCAGGGAGGATTCTGGGACGAAAGGCATGCCTCTCTGACTCATTGTGTTCTCTCCTGTCCTCCACCATCCGCCTGCCTGCACATCTTATCTTCCTCCTATGGCTTACACGGTGAGTGTTGAAGAGGGGGAAGAGCGGAGAATCCCAGAGTGGGTGAGGTCAGGTGGAGAGAATCTGGTTAGGAGTCATGAGTGTGGACATGGCTCAGGGATAGTTAGGAGCCAGTAAGAAAGAGACTCATACCATGGAGAAAGCACTTTCAGTGGCATGCTTGTTGTGTAAGCACCAACAAATGAGTTTTCAGATTCCCGGCATGCATATAATAAGCCTGACACGGTGCTCTGTGAGCCTTGTCTGGGCTCCAGGTGGGTGCACACAGGATGGTCTTTGAGGCCTGTGGCTGGCCAGCTCTCATAGCGAGCTCCAGATTCAGTGAGAGACTATCTCAAAATCTAAGGTGGGCTGGGCCTTCGGGCAAATGCCTTTAATCTCAGCATCCAGGAGTCCCAGGCAGGTGTGTCTCTGTGAGCTCCAGGACAGCCAGGTCAACACAGAGAGACAGTATCTGAAACAAACAACAGGGAAAGAAAGAAAGAAAGAAAGAAAGAAAGAAAGAAAGAAAGAAAGAAAGAAAGAAAGAAAGAAAGAAAGAAAGAAAGAAGAAAGAACGTGGGGCCGGTGAGAAGCCTCTGAGCGTCCAGACATTTGTAGCTTAGCCTGAGGACCTGAGTTTAGTGCCCAACATGGTGGAAGGATAGAAGTAACTCCCAAAAGTTGTCCTCTGACCTCTATGTGCACATCATGGCACATGCACAGCCACTGCCCACACACAGAAAATAAGTCATATTAGAAAGAAAAAAGAAGGTAGGGCACAGTATGCCAGCACTCAGGAGGCAGAGGCAGGCAGATCTCTGTGAGTTCAAGGCCAGCCTGGTCTGCAGAGAGAGAGAGAAAGTCCAGGCCAGCCAGGGCTACACAGAGAAACTCTGCCTCAGGGAAAAAAAAAAAAAAAAAAAAAGAAGGAAGGAAGGAAAAATAGTTCAAAGAGAATAATGTGACAGTGGATGTGGATGAGGACATGGAGTTATGGTTTCTACATAGGCACACATTTTAAAAAAGAAGGAGAGCTGGAGGGATGGCTTAGTGGTTAAGGGTACCTGGCTCTCTTCTGAAGTCTTGAGTTCAGTTCCCAGCAGTTCGCAGTGGCACTTGTAACTTCAGTTCCAGGCATCCCATGCTGTCTTCTGGCTTCTGTGGAACTAGGCAGGCACCTGACACATCTATATACATACAAGCATACATAATACTCACATACGTACAATGAAATTAAGAAACACTTTGTAAAAAGAAAGAGTGAGACTCTAAGAACTGATGATTGGGGTGTGCATGGTACAGGACACCCGGGTGTGTCAGAGACAGCTCTGTGGGCTTTGCTCTCTCCTACCTTCACGTGCAAGGGCTTTTGCCAATTGAGCTATCTCTTCGGTCCAAGAAGAGTCCTGCTAAGAGAGGAGCTAGGGATATGGCCATCTAAAGCTGGGCACCATGGTTCCACCTCCATAATGCAAAAAAAGAGGAAGGGTCTAGCCTGGAAGAGCATCATGGGATGCAGGAAGGGTCAGGAGTGTGGGCAACCAGGTACCAACCTCAGTCCCCACCCACAGGGACAGGATTGGGACCGTTCTGCCCCTGCCGGGTCCATCCCGCCCCCGTTCCCTGGAGAGCTAGACGGCTCGGATGAGGAGGAGGCTGAGGGCATGTTCGGGGCTGAGTTGCTGTCCCCCAGTGGGCAGGCTGATGTGCAGACGCTGGCCATCATGCTTCAGGAGCAATTGGAAGCCATCAACAAGGAAATCAAGTGAGCCCCAGGCCAAGCCTGCCTTGTCCTGCCTAAGTTGTCCCCACAGCCCCTGTAGCTCCCAACAGGCAGCCCCGCCCCTTTCTCTAAGCCTACTTTCCCACGCCCTAAAGCCGCTCTCCACAGTTGTGGACAACCCCGGTTGTCTGCACCAGTGTCCCCGAGCCAGCACTCATACCAAAGAGTGTGTTCCTGATCCTCAACTCTTCAGGAGAAAGCGTCAGGAAAACCATGACTCCACCATCACCTGGAACCTCCTGATGCTGCAAAATCTCAACATAAAGTCCCAACAACAGCAACTCACAAGTCTTTCCCTCATACAGCAACTAAGAGCCTCAGCTTGGGCTGGAGTGTATTTATTTGGTGGAGCATTTAGTTAGCGTCTGTGAGGCCTGGAGTTCCATCCCTAGGATGGAAAAGAAAAGAAGGAAGGGGGGGGGGAATTGGAAATAAAGTGAAAGAAAAAGAAAGAAAGAAAGAAAGAAAGAAAGAAAGAAAGAAAGAAAGAAAGAAAGAAAGAAAGAAAGAAAGAAAGAAAGAAAGAAAGAAAGAAAAAGAACAGCAACATAGAGAGGAAGGAAGGGATTTCGGAGATGACACAGTGGTTGAAGTAATTGCCATCCACGCCACAGGACTGGAGTTCAGGTCCCCTGGAACCCCTATGAATGTCAAGTGGACTGGGGCTCACCTGACACCAAGCCTCTGAAGTCAGGATAGGCCCCCTGAGGAAGCTGGCTCCGGGACTAGCCGCAGGCTCTTTGCTGCTGGGTGTCAAATCAACCTCAGGCATTCACATCCACACACTGTGCCTACCACACACGTGCGAAAACATGCGTGCAAACAGGCATCACACACGCACATAAAGGGAGAGATGAGAGATTGAACCTTACCGCAACTCTACCAAGCACCCCTAGTGACAGCACAGTTTTTCAAGAAGCCGTCAGAAGTTGCCCGATGTCGCAGTCCTGTCGTCGCCAGGAAATACGACTGACACAGTCACCTTTTCTAATTTAGACTTCCTCCGTCCGCTCTCCGGGACTGAATGGGTTCATGACACCCAACTTTGATTGACTTGATCCCCATATGGGCTTAGCATTTTGCTCTTGTACCTTTTGGAACACTGTTCCTGTAGTGATATATAAATTGTACTGGGGATTAAACCCAGAGCCTTGTGTGTGCCAAGTGAGGCCTCTCCTGCTAAGTCCTGCCCTGGCCCCTCGCTGGGGGATCTCAGGCAGGTGCTCTACTGCTAAGCTATGCCCCTAGGCCTTTTTATGACTTCACTGTAACCATTTGGTTAACCTCATTGATAGAAATCGCAACTACTCAACCCAAATCCTTCAGTGATTTTTTGAGAATCTCAGGATTTCCTGCCTCCCCTTCACCCCTGAGACTACAGGCAAGTGGTCCATGCAAACATTAAGTCACTTCACTTCGTTATCCTGAGTCACGCCCTCCTCCCCTGCCCATTCTGGCCACCTGGGAACTGTGTCTCCCTGTCCCCTCCACCTGGCCTCCTTTCTCCCTTCCCAGGCTAATCCAAGAAGAGAAGGAGACCACAGAGCAGCGGGCAGAGGAGCTAGAGAGCCGGGTGTCCAGCTCTGGCCTTGACTCCCTGGGACGGTACCGCAGCAGCTGCTCACTGCCACCCTCACTCACCACCTCCACCCTTGCCAGCCCCTCGCCTCCCAGCTCCGGACATTCCACCCCCCGCCTGGCACCCCCCAGTCCTGCCCGGGAGGGCACAGATAAGACGGTGAGTATTCTGAGTCACCCAAGCCCAGGGTAGGTGGAAAGTCAGGAACAGAGCTTCCCACAAATAGCTACCAGAGGCCTGGCACAGTGGATTCCAGGGGCATCCTTAGCCTTTCCCGAAACTTCCAAAGACACCAGGAACTAGCTTCTGGGGACTTCTTTAGAGTGTGGTCTACACCGACTTCTTGTTGCATTGTGTGTGTGTGTGTGTGAGAGAGAGAGAGAGAGAGAGAGAGAGAGAGAGATATTCATGAGAATACTCTAGGACCCCTTGTGGAGGTCAGAGGACAATTTCCATTGGTTTTCTCCTAACATGTGTGTCCTGGTGACTGAACTCAGGTTATCATGCTGAACTGACTGAGCCCATCTTAGCAACCCTACTTTGATGTTTTCTTCCTTCCTTCCTTCCTTCCTTCCTTCCTTCCTTCCTTCCTTCCTTCCTTCCTTCCTTCCTTTCTTTCTTTCTTTCTTTCTTTCTTTCTTTCTTTCTTTCTTTCTTTCTTTCTTTCTTCTTTGACAGAGTTTCTGTGTGGCCTTGGCTGTCCTGGACTTACTTTGTAGACCAGGCTGGCCTCTGCCTCCCTGAGTGCTGGGGTTATAAGCGTGTTCCACCATGCCCGGCTTTTGACCTGTTTTCACTCATCATGTTTCTGCATTTCGTTTTTTTGAGGCAGAGTCTTGCTGTGTTCTTTAGGCTGCTGTGAAACTTGAGAGGTCAGGCTATCTTCCTCCTTTGCTATCTATTTTTATCTATCTTGCTCCCAAGTACCTTACCTGATCTACAGGCATGCCCCACACCCAGCTACTGGACTCAAAATATTCCTGTGGCATGGCTCAGCTGGCAAAGGCACTTGCCACTGAGCTTGACAGCCCAAGTTTTATCCTGAGGACCCACATAGCAGAAGGAAAGAACTTATTTCTGAAAATTGTCCTCTGACAGGGTGTTTTTATGCCTTCATGTGCACGCGCACACACACACACATACACACACACAAATAAAGCCTAATTAAGTTGATTTTTTGTTTTTGTTTCTTTTGAGACAAACTCCCACTATATAGCTCTGGCTGTCCTGGAATTCACCATGTAAATCAGGCTGCCCTCGAACACTCAGAGATCTGCCTGCCTCTGCCCCCTGAGTGTGTGGGATTTAGAAGTGTGTGCCACTGTGCCGCATAATTAAACTATGTTTAAATATACATATCTTGAGCTCTATAATTTTTTAATTTAAAAAAATGTATTTAATGTGTGTCAGTGTTTTGCCTGTGTGAGGATGTTAGATTCTCCGGAACTGGAGTCGCAGCCAGCTGGGAGCCACCACATGGGTGCTGGGGGCTGAACCCCAGTCCTTTGGAAGAACAGCAGGGCTCTTAACTGCTATGCCATCTCTCCAGCCTAACTTTGAGAACTTGAGTATGGTGACTCAGCACCTGTCATCCCAGTGCTTGTATGGTTGAGGCAGGAGGATTGCTGTGAGTTTGAGGCCAACTTCGACACATAGCAAAACCCTATTTCAAAAGGAGGAGGGGGAGGAGAAAAAAGAGGAAGAGGAGGAAGAGAAATTAACCTTGGAGGAAGACAAAATCATATGCAATTTTGTTTAAGTTAGTGCCCAAGCCAGGGGCAGCTTGGATACCCTCTCATATCCCCAACTGGCATCCCCAGAATGACCCTCAAGCTAATTCTGCATTTGTCTCCATCCACAGAACCACGTCCCCAAGGAAGAAGCTGGTGTTCCACGAGGGGAGGGCCCAGCCATTCCAGGAGACACCCCACCACCCACTCCTCGCTCGGCCCGCCTTGAGAGGATGACCCAGGCTTTGGCACTGCAGGCAGGGTCCCTGGAAGATGGGGCACCGCCCCGGGGAAGGTCAGCAGGGATGTAGGTTAAGATAGGGAAGGGGCAAAGCAGTGTGTGTGAGAGTGGACAGTGTCCATTCCACGCTCTGCCTTGTCTCTCTAGTGAGGGCACCCCAGATTCCCTCCACAAAGCCCCTAAGAAGAAGAGCATCAAGTCATCCATAGGTCGGCTCTTTGGCAAGAAAGAGAAGGGCCGGATGGGACCCCCGGGCCGGGAAAGTGCTTCTCTGGGTCAGTACTGTAAGCCAGCCCTCCTTCCCTCCCTGCCCTCCTCCCTCCCTGCCTTCCCTTCCTCCCTTCCCTCCTCCCTCTCTCCTAGTTTGCTAGAAAGTGATTTCTATATTCACTAGGTAATACTTTCTTTTCTTTTTTGTGGTGCTGGGAATTGAACCTAGGGCCTCATGCATGCTCGGCAAGTACCCTACCACTAAGCTGTGTCCCAGCCCCTGCTTTATTTTATTTTATTTTATTTTATAAAATTGTGTTATAATTCTCTGGAGTTTGTTTGTCTCGGTTTTTCAGGACAGGGTTTCTCTGTGTAGCCATGGCTGTCCTGGACTCACTTTGTAGACAAAGCTGGCCTCAAACTCACAGAGATCTCTTGACTCCTCTGCCTCTTTTTTTTTTTTTATATATTTATTTATTATGTATACTCTGTTCTGCCTGCATGTGTGCCTGTACGTCAGAAGAGGGCATCAGATCTCTTTATAGATTGCTGTGAGCCACCTGATATGGTTGCTGGGAATTGAACTCAGGACCTCTGGAAGAGCAGCCAGTGTTCCTAACTTCTGAGCCATCTCTCCCAGCCCTCTCTATGTGTTCTTGATGTATGTATATGGAGGTCAGAGGACAACTTTGTGAAGCTGGATCTCTCCTTCTGCTTTCCTTATGTAGCCCTGGCTGTCCTGAGATTCTCCTTGTAGACCAGGCTAGCCTAGAGCCCACAGAGCTGCTCTTCCCTCTGCCTCCCGAGAGCTGGGATCAAAAGTGTGCAGCACTATGCCAGGCCCTGTTTTTGGTTTTGCTCTGTGACTCTGTCTGGCCTGCTAGACAGAGTCTAGCTTTGTAGCATAGAATGGCCTTGAGCTGGTGACCTTCTTGCTGCCTTTCCAGGGCTTGGGGGGTCCCATGTGAGCACCCACATTTCCCTGACCCAAGACTTCACTAATTTTGATGCTTCTTTGCCTCCAGCTGGGACACCCTCAGATGAAACACTGGCCACTGACCCTCTGGGGCTAGCCAAGCTGACTGGCCCGGGAGATAAGGACAGGAGGAATAAGAGGAAGTGAGTGCTCACGGACTTGGGATGGGTGTGGATACCATGACCCTTTGCTTTCCAGGGAATCTGGAACACCTTCCTTTATGGCTTTGCTGTCTGTGGGGGGAGGGTGGGTTTACAGAGCACCACACCTCACTGCACTTTGAGAAGATGCTTTGATTGTGTGCACCTAAGTAGGAGGTCCACGGGAAGGTTCACAGCTTCCATCTACCTTCTTTGCTAGACACGAACTTCTGGAAGAGGCCTGTCGCCAGGGCCTGCCTTTTGCTGCGTGGGATGGCCCCACCGTGGTCTCCTGGCTGGAGGTACTCTGATACTGAAATGACCTTAGCATACAGTTGCTAATCCATCCCCACTCAGTTGTGTGACTGGAGCTCAGGCTAGCCTCAAACTCATGGCAATCCTCCTGCCTCAGCCTCCTGAATGCTGGGATTATAAACCTGAGCCACCGTGCCAGGCCTTTATCCTCAGCTCTCTGACAGCTGGGCTCTCCAGGGCTGGTTGGCTCTGCCCAACACAAGCCTAGAAGTGGGGTGGATGAGGAGGTCAGTACCCCAGGCTCTAAGGGAAACCACTTCCTTTTCCTCCCACCCATGCCCACTCTATGTGTCTCTTCTGGTTTCTCCCTGTCTCTGGCAACTCCTGTCTGTCTTTCCATCTGTCCCGTCTCTATTCATCCCTCGTCTTCACCCACGTGTCTCTGTGTTCCGCATCTGTTTCTTTGCCTGAGAACTTTCCCCATCTGTCTCTCTTCTCCACTGACTCCTCCACATTCTTGCCTTCCCATGGCCTCAGCTCTGGGTGGGCATGCCTGCGTGGTATGTGGCCGCCTGCCGGGCCAATGTCAAGAGCGGCGCCATCATGGCCAACCTGTCAGACACCGAGATCCAGAGGGAAATCGGCATCAGCAACCCACTGCACAGACTCAAGCTGCGCCTCGCCATTCAGGAGATGGTGTCTCTCACCTCCCCCTCTGCTCCCGCCTCCTCCCGAACTGTGAGTGCCTGCCATTCCATGCCCCTCGCTGCCCAGCCCCACCCCTCGCTGCAGACTACTCCCCATGGGCCCTGTCTCCAGGTGTCATGAATTCCTTTTTCAGGGGACATCTCTTCAGGGAGTCTTTGACTTGTTACCCCCACCAAGGCCCCCTTCCTAGAGATTTTGTCACATCAAGTGACTGCCCAGATGCACAGTTTTCTTTATTTCTCTTGAGACAAGGTCTCATTTAGTAGGGCGGCCTGGCCTGGAATTCACTGTGACCAGGCTGGGCTTGAACACACAGAGATACCTTCCTCTACCTCCTGAGTCAGGCCCACCATGCCTACACCAGTTTTTTTTCTAAGAAGTCTCAAAGGAGCAAACAATTTTCTGTACCTGTGTCTGAGGCAGTAGGAAGGCAGTTAAAGCCGGCCTGGGCTACTGAGTAAGCTCAAGGTCAGCCTGGGCTTTTTGGTGAGACCTTGCCTTATTCTAAAAACAAAAAGAGGGCCTGCACATGGGAGAAAAAGAAAATCAACTCCCGTAACTGTCCTCATAGAGTGCCATGACATACACCTAAAAGAAACAAACGCTATTTTTAAACAGAGAGACAGGGTCTCTCTGTCCTGGAACTCACTCTGTAGAGAGGGCTGGTCTTCAGCTCACAGAGATCCACCTGCCTCTGCCTCCCAAGTGCTGGGAAAGGTGTGTGCCACCACCACCCAGCTTCTCTTGGGTTCTTGGGTGTAATTTAAGGACAAGACAAAAGGTTATCCCCTAAAATGCCATCAGCAGATATCTTTTTCTCCTTTGGGCCTCCAAAGCTTTAACACACAGAAGTGTTAATATTATTGTTAATTTCATCTGCCCGTCAACCATATGCAATTTTCCCAAAATGTTACTGAAATAAGGTCTCACTTTGAGACTCACTCAGGCTGGCCAGGAGCCCATTGCGATGCTCTTGCCACAGACCACAAGAGTGAGGATCACAATATCACTGTCATTTTTTTTGAGAGTGTGTGTGCTAGGGATTCACACCCCTGGCTCCTGGAGAATTACAGACAATGCCAATGCTAGGCAAATCCATACTGTAAGACAGTCTCTCCCTCCGTAGCTCGGACTTGTCTAGCAATCTTGTCTCTGCCTCCTGTGTGCTGGGATTGCAGGCCTACTGGAGGATGCGGGGCTCACATAGTTACGTACTTTCACTGTGTGCCATCATGGTTCCCAGCACGCATCAGGAGCCAGGTGGTCTGAGTCTACATGGGCACTCATGGTTCCTAGGGCAGAGGTGTTGGCAGCAGAAAACCCCATCCTGCTGGCGAGCACCCCGCCCTCTGCTGTGTCTGCTCTTCCCTTCTTGGTCCTCACCGTGTATGACACCAGAGAGGTGACATCAAGGGCACAAGGACACACACACACACACACATTTTTAAAAATTTATTTTATGTGTATGAATGTTGTAGCTGCATAAATGCATGTGTGAATGCCTGATGCCTTTGGAGGTCAGAAGAGGCTGTCAGAATCCCGGGCTGTGAGCTGCCGTGTATGTGCTGGGAGCCAAACCTGGATCCTCTGCAGGAGCAACACATGAACACATGTTCTTTCTTTTCTTCTTTTTCCAAGACAGGTCTCTCTGTGTAGCCCTGGTCGTCCTGGAACTCACTCTGTACACCAGGCTGGCCTGCCTGCCTTTGCCTCCCTTGTGCCACCACCACTCCCTAAGATCAGTGCAACACATGCTCTTAGCCACTGAGCCATCTCTCCAGCCCCAAATTTTTTAATTAAAATTTTATAAATATATGTATTCATAAATATATATTCACACTATACATGCATACATACATACACATACATGCGACCACCGCCACAGAGCATGTGTGAAGGCCGGAGGTTTTCTCCCGCCGTGTGGGATAGCACTCGGGTCATCAGGTGTGGTGGCACCTTTACCTGCTGAGCCAGCTTGCTGGAGCTTCCCAACTCTTCCGCCTCAGCATGGAAGATGCCCAAGACAGGGTCATTTCTTTCCTCTCTCACCTGGGCTTTGAAACCCCAAACAGAATGAGCATAAATAGATGAGTCAGAGTGGGACGATTAGGGGGCCGTCTGTATTCTGTGTCTTCTCGCATTCCATAACTCCCGGCGTCCCTCAGCCCACAGGAAACGTGTGGATGACACATGAGGAGATGGAGTCTCTGACGGCAGCTACAAAACCCGTGAGTGCCTCTTGCTGGTGGCCCAGGGGGCGGCACTGTTACTACTGGGTGCGGGGGGGGGGGGGGGGGGGGGGGGGGGGAGTCTGTCTGTCCGTGCATCATCTGTCCCTTCTGCTCTCCTCTGCCTGTCCCCTTAACCCACCCCTTCTCTTCCCCTCTTCCCACTAACGGGTCAGGAGACCAAGGAGATCAGCTGGGAGCAGGTAGGGGCGCAGGGCGGGCTGGACGCATGAACAGGTTGTGCACGCTGCATGGTCCTCCTCTGTCTCCGCGCCCCTCCCCTTGTTGGAGCATCTCAGTCCCTGCCCAGGAGGGGAAGGCCGCAGCACGGAGCTCAGCTATGGGCTGGCTCTTAGTGGCTTGGTGGGAGTCAAAGCAGAAGCCCTCAGTGTCCACCTCCAGCCTGGGGCACGGCCTTTGCGTGGTGGTGGGTTGCTCGGGAGCTGGGGACTGTGGAATTGCTGGAACCGGAGGGAACTGTTGGCGGTGCAGGGTTTGTGTTACGGTTGGGGAACAGGGCTGGTCGCACTGTTCAGTGGCCCAAGTGTTAGCTGTGCTTGTTATGTTAGCCGTGAGGTGGGCCAGGCAAGGGAGGGGTGGGGGGACACAGCTGCCTGAGAAGAGAGATGCTGGCTTCCCAGGGTTGGAAGGTCCAGGTTGGGCTGGGGCCTGTTTCCTGGCCCTATATCTGCAAAAGACTTTGGGCCTGTCTCACAGTTTTGTCCTAAACTAGACTGCTTGGACCAGTATTTTTCTCAGTAGTGTAGGAGTGATGGTCCCTGGCTGGCCAGAGAGACACGCTGGAGTCCCGACTTTGCAGATGTAATCATGCTCGGGCTGGATGCAGGGCTGGGGGCAGCTGGCGGATCCCTCGCCTAGAATAGAGTCTCAGTTTCCAGCACCAACCTGGAGTGGGGGTGCACACCTGTAAGGCCAGCACTCAAGAGGGTGGAGGCAGGTGGCTCTAGAGCTCAAGGTCATCCTCAACTTCACCGCAAGTTTGGGGTTAGCCTGGGCTACATGACACCCTGAGCTGGTCCCTTGTCCCCCACGGTGGGGCCATATTGTTCTGTGGTGGGGACAGAACTAACTTGGGTTGGGAGCTGAATGAAGGGACAAGAGGGCCTGACCCCCTCCTTCACCTACCCATGGTCCCAGATCCTGGCATATGGCGACATGAACCACGAGTGGGTGGGGAATGACTGGCTGCCCAGCCTCGGGCTGCCCCAGTACCGAAGCTACTTCATGGAGTCACTAGTTGATGCTCGGATGTTGGACCACCTGAACAAGAAGGAACTTCGAGGCCAGCTCAAGATGGTGGACAGCTTCCACAGGTGGGGGCTGCCTGGCCTATGGGAACAGCCCAAGGGAGTACACCCCTAGGGAGGCTTGGGCAGTGGGAAATTCCATGCCATTTTCTTGGTGCTCCTTGAACTCAGAAGGTGGTCGGTAGGAAAACTGAGATCTGTTGTGGTCCTGGTGATCTGCTTCTTGGGAGGCCAGAGGATTGCAAATTTGAGGTTAGCCTGGACTACAGACTTCAAGGCTAGCCCAAGAAACTTAGTGAGACCCTGTCTCAAAATTTAAAAGTAAAAAATAGAGATTTCAGAGAGAGAGAGAGAAAGTGTGTCCATGGGAAGGCTCCTAGGTGACTCAGTTTCCCTCACTGCTCAGGGTTAGTCTGCACTATGGTATCATGTGCCTGAAACGGCTCAACTATGACCGGAAGGATCTGGAGCGGAGAAGGGAAGAGAGCCAGACTCAGATCAGAGGTGAGGTCCTGTGGGGAGCAGGCGGAGAGGCGAGCTCTGGGGAGGAGGGGAAGCCAGAGAAGCCAAGAGCTACTGGAAATAGCTCCTGGAAAGAGTGGCCACCACGGGCCGTGGCCCGAGAATAAAGTGAGTGTGGAGTTATGCGCCAGACTGGCTGGGTCTGGCCACTGGAGTGCGCCATTCTACAAGGGGTGGAGCCAGGAGAGGGGCTTGGCCAAGAGAGAATAAACCTGCTCACCAGGAGGCGCTGTTTCCACAACGAGTAGGACCAGCGTGGCCGCGTGGGTAGGGGAGAAAAATGGAAGCCACAGGCCTAACTAGCCAGTTCCATAGATGAAGGATGGACGCTTGGCTAGTAAAGGAAGTGAGGGTGGAGTTAGGCTAATACGGCAGGACTGGTCACTAGGAGGTGCACAGTTAAGAGTCCCTTTCATCCCCAGACGTGATGGTGTGGTCCAACGAACGGGTCATGGGTTGGGTGTCCGGTCTTGGCCTGAAGGAATTTGCTACGAACCTCACCGAGAGCGGGGTGCACGGTGCGCTGCTGGCTCTGGACGAGACCTTCGACTACTCCGACTTGGCCCTGCTTCTGCAGATACCGACGCAGAACGCACAGGTGAGCCGCGGCTGGCCGGGGCGCGCGCTGAGCTCCCGCCGGCGCGCTCCGCCCGGGCCACTACCCTCTCCTCCTCCTCCAGGCCCGGCAACTGCTGGAGAAAGAATTCAGCAACCTCATCTCCCTAGGCACAGACCGAAGGCTGGACGAGGTGGGCGTGGCGACGGCTCTGACACGGCCTCCCGGTTGCTTCCAAAAGCGAGCGGTGAAGGGGTGGGGCTTGGTTTTGCCAGCCAATCGCGGTTGGAGGCTGAGCTAGCCGGGGGCGTGGTTAACACAGAGGGCTGGAGAGGGAACTTGTGCTCCCTTACCTTGGGCTCCTGTCGTACCACTAGGACAGTGCCAAGTCCTTCAGCCGCTCCCCATCCTGGAGGAAGATGTTCCGGGAGAAGGACCTCCGGGGTGTAACCCCCGATTCGGCCGAGATGTTACCCCCCAACTTTCGCTCAGCGGCAGCAGGAGCCCTAGGCTCCCCCGGGCTCCCACTCCGCAAGCTGCAGCCTGAAGGTAGAGGCCTCTCAAATGTGCCAGTCCAGACCCTATTCACGTCCTGGGACAGCCTTCCCTCTGGTCTATCTCGGGCTACAGAGGAGTGCGTTCAAGACAGCCAGGGCAGCTTAGTGACACGGTCTCGGGAAGTAAAAAGATGCGGGGGGACGCAGGGGATTCCCAGCGAGGCCCCGGGGTGCGGCTCAGCGGGGTGTTTGACTAGCCGCGCCGGGGCCCCTGCTTCCACTCTCCGGTGCCGCGGAGTGGGGGCTCCCGGGGAAGCCGGGGCGGCCCCAGGCTGACCCGCTGCCGCTCTCTCTAGGCCAGACTTCTGGGAGTTCACGGGCAGACGGTGTTTCGGTGCGGACTTACTCCTGCTAGTGCGCGCCTCAGGTGAGGACTCCGCCAGAGACTGTCAGGGCTCAGGGTGGTGCAGCGGGGACCCGGGATGGCGTTCCATGGACTGCCTGGCCTCCACGCAAGCGACCTCACTCCCACCCGGATGAAGACCCTTCCGAAGGCCGGGCCGTTTTCCCTCCTTTCCAGTGTCTGGTCTAGATGGCGGCGAGGGAGCTCACAGCGGGCTGCGCCGTCTACACAGCCCGGGGTCCGCGTTCCCGCCTCCCAGACGGACTGGGCCTGGACCAAACCACGGGAAATGCACTGAGAAGGGGCAGAAGAGGACGGGAAGAACGCCCACCCCGGACTCCCGCCTCCCTTTTCTCTGCTTTGTAATTGATCGATCCGTCGCGGATGGGCGCCTGGCGCCACGGACAGGGGCGGGGCTTCTCTCTCGGGCCGCATGCGGGGAGAGGCCACCCCTTCCCTTTCTATTGCCCGGTCGCGGGGCCCAAGTCTTCCTTCTTCGTCCGCTCGGAGGGGAGGGGAGACTCGCTGCTACCAGCCTCGCCCCCCGTGCCCCGCTGCGTCTCGTCGCCAGTCCTCGGGGTCATCTGCAAGCGGGGTCCCCTGTCCCTCCTCCCGTGTCTCGTGTCCCCCGGGGCCTCCCCGCCCCTGTGCTATGGCGGTGTCTGTGCCCAAGGGTCAGGGACGCAGCACTGCGTTCCCGTTTCCCCTCCGGCTCCGGGGTTTGCATGGGAAAATCCCTCTGTCAACTATGCCGCTGGGCGAAGCGGCCTGGGGAGAGGACAGACGGACAGCGGGCAGCCCCACCCGACTCCCGGTCGGCCTCCCGGCCCCAGGCGTTACTCAGTGATCACGGGTAAAGACCTACTGTTTCAAAAGCCCTGGTGGTGACCAGACTCTTTTTGAGACAGGGTCTCACTTTGTAGTCCTGGCTGGCCTGGAACTCACCACGTAGACCAGGCTAGCCTGGAACTCACAGAGATCCGCCTGCCTCTGCCTCTGCACTGAGATTAAAGGTGTGTGCCACCACTCCAGCTTTTGTTTGCAAGATGTTAAGAACCCAAACCAGCCACCTCTAGAGTCAAGGAGCCGAGGCTGAGGCCTCCCCTGCCCTGTCTCCCCAGGACACACTCCACGCCGGACACCGGTGTTTCCAGGAGCACATTTATTCAGAGAAATAGATGCAGCTCTTGTGAGGTGGCCAGATCAGGGCTCTGGAGTCTCCAGCATGTCAGCCAGGGCTCTGGACAGGAGGACACGGAGGTTAGCTAGCCAGTGCCTGGAGCCGCGTACTGCGCATGACACTGTCCATTTTAACTCCCACGGGCAGCCCTTCTCTAAACAGGTCCCTTGAGCTGCACCGTCACCCAGCCAACCCCACACACTTACTGATACAGGGAGGAGGAGACATAGTCGATGTAGCTTCCTGTGAGGGAGCAGAGAGAGGTGGGCGGTAGGGGAGCGCTCCAGGCAGACATGCAGTGCGGCTCCCCCTTCTAATTCCTGCCTCAGCCTGAATGACACCCCCTTCCTGCTTTGGACCCTCTGCTTCTCTAGCAGCCCCACCCCCGCCTCTATTTACTTTGGCCCCGCCCACTTCCAGGACTACCCTTCAACGTTCGCTCAGATCCTGCCCACATGACCTTTGCCATGGTCACACGCCCCTACCCCACCCATGCAACCCCATCCCACAGCCTTGGATCACAGCTCGGGTTGGCTCCAGCCCCCACCCACTTTTAGGGTTCACTTTGCTGGGCCCTCTCCCCTCTGTGCGTGTCGGCTCCTCCCACTTTGCTGCTCACCTGGAGTGCAGAGGGTTTCACAGACCAGAGGGCAGAGGTAGCAGAACTGGCAGTGCTGAGGAGGGAGAGAGCTGGTCAGGGGGCTCAGTCAGGGACAAGAGGAAGGACCGCCCAGGGCCTGAGGCTAGGTGAGGGTCATACAGGAAGGAGGTCATATAGGAAGGTTGTTCCGGTTCCCGGCCATCTTAGTACCTGAGCTTAGAGTCTCTGGGGAGGTCTCACCTGACATTGGTCACAGTGTTCCCCCATGTTCTCCTCATCACAGTGACAGCTCTCACATTCAGTACATCGCTGGGAACAGGAAGAGCCTGATTAGAGGAGCCCCCAGGCCGCAGTCCCTCAGGAGAGGAGCACTTCCTCTGTTGACTTACTTGTCTGAACTCAGAGTCCCCCTGGGGACCCTCCCTGGTTTCCTATCTCAAGACAACCCCAAGTGACCCACTCACCTGTTAGCACCTGCCTGTCACAGAGCCTGGTGGCTGACCCTCATGTGGAGACCCAAACTTCTCATCGCCCCAGAGTCCCCACCCCCAGCTTCTGGTCTCCATCTTGTTCTGGAAGCATTTGCTTCTGCCTGCTCCTCCCCCTTCCAGGCTCAGCGTCTTCTGTGCCACCCCAGGGCGTACAGGCAGACCTTGGCTAGGGACCTACATTGCAGAAAGAGCAATAGCCACACAAGGACCCTGGCTGGTAGTTCTCATACTCCTGGGCATCCTGCTGACCTGTGGGGACAGGAGGGCAACAGTGATTCCAGTTGGCTGATGCTGCCTTCCCCACCCCCACAGAGCCAGGTCACTTACCTGTGACCTCATGGCTCTCCTCCTCACTGGAACCTTCTCTGGCTACCTCCCTCCCAGCCAGTGGGTTTGGGATGATGGTGAAAGGTAGCAGGTTTTCTTCCAGGATCTCCTCGTCCTCGTCCTCATCCTCGTCCTCGTCCTTATCCCCATCCTCCTCCTCCTGCTTCCTGTGATGGCTCAGTGGAGTCGAAACCTCAGCCCTGTCTCTCCTGCTTTCCTTCTCATCATTTTCTTCCTCTTCCTCATCTTCCTGGCTCATGGGGAGGCCATGACCCTCCTCCTCTTCCTCCTCCTCCTCACTGTGGGTTTCTTCTCTCTGCACTAAGTCTTCATCTTCTTGAGAGGTGTGGTCATCTTCCTTCCCTGATTCTCCAGAAGCAGCCCCCATGGGCTGCGGGGGCTGATGACCAGTCTCAGCTTGGACAGATTCTATGTGTCCCTGCCTGGTCCATTCATCTTGATCCTGTAGCCCGTGGCTGGGGTCCTTATGGCCAAACTCAGCAGAAATGTCCTCATCTGCATCCCTGGAAGCTCTGTGGTGGTGATGGCCAGGGACTTCTGCCATATAATCTTCTAGGAAGTCCTCCTCCTTGTCAGAACTGTGGCCTTGGGGTTGGTGGCTTGCAACATGGTGGCTGAACTTTACTCTCATTTCCTCTCCTCTGTTCTCACGTCCAAGACCATGGTGAGCATGTCTGGGAGACTGGTGCCAATGTTCAGTGGATACAGCCTCATCTTCGTCTTCTTCATCTTGGTGGCTTTGGTGGCCATGGCTGGGAACGTGATGGTAGTCCTCCTCTGAATCATCCTCATCATCTTCCTTCTGATGGCCTCTGTGTCTGTGGGCTTGGTGCACATGCTCAGTGGAGTCATCATCACCACCATCATCATCATCATCTTCTTCATGGCTTTGGTGTCCATGCCTGGAGACATGAAAATGATCTCCAGCTGACACATCCTCATCTTCCTTCCTGTGGCCTTGGATCCGGTGCTCAATGGAGTCTTCTTCTTCTTCTTCTTCTTCTTCTTCTTCTTCTTCTTCTTCTTC